TCTGTCTGTCTGTCTGTCTATCTATCTATCTATCATCTGTCTGTCTGTCATCTGTCTGTCTGTCATCTATCTATATGTCTGTCTGTCTGTCTGTCTATCTATCATCTATCTGTCTGTCTGTCTGACTAGATTTAACTGTAGTAACAAAATGAAGTAGTGGTAATAACTTTAATGATAACAAGCTGCATTTTGTGTCATGTTACAGTGTAATTTTCGACAAAAGCAGTAATCTCATCAATATATCTGAAATGAATTTTGACAAATTGTATGCTGGAATGTGTTTTTGTTGTACTAATATGAGTTTGTTAACAGATCTTTAGGTTGGGACTCCTCACAGGAGACATTTTATGTCAAATCCGTCCAGAGCAAACAGACGACTCTGGAACGACAGGTCAGACTTTACTGGGGCTTATATCTGCATTGTACGTCCACCATATGCAGTTGGGTCACTCTCTCTCTCTCTCTCTCTCGCTCTCTCTCTCAGGCTGGTGTTGATAATAGCATCCTCATGCGTGTGGCCGTTTTTCAAGTCTTTCCACTGGAGCTTGTAGGAATGCTGGAAATAAATAAAAAAGTAATATCTGCTTTACCACATTCAAATACATCTATTTTTTTGTTGAAAGGTTATAAATTTTTATAATTTATTATCAATTTATTTCAACTTAGCTCCACTTATATTAGTGTTGTCAAACGATTAATCGCATCTAAAATAACAGTTTGTGTTTACTTAATAAATGTGTGTGTACTGTGTTTATATATTATGTATACATAAATGCAATCACATAAATGTATATATTTAAAAAATATTTACGTATTTATATTTATATATAATTTATATTATAAATAAATTAAATATTTTATATAAAAATATAAAAAGTTTCTTAAATATTTACATGCGTGTGTCTTTATATACAAAATAAATATACACAGTACACACCCATATATTAAGTAAACACAAACTTTTATTTTGGATGCGATTAATCGTTTGACAGCACTAACTTACATTATAATGTTAATTTTGTTCAGAACAGGTATTTCTCGCAGCTTAGTTTCAATAAATGGTCATTTTTGTTCTTTAGATGGAGCATTTTCAGTTGAATGAATTCGTCTAAGTGGCTTGTGTTGTGTTCAGGTGTTTGGGAAGACTGCTGTGGATGTGCTGCTGTCACAGGGAGTGTTAGCTGTGTCACACAGCTCAAAACACGTCAGACTTTACAGTTTTGAGTACATTGTTAATAAGGTAATGGAAGCGTTATTGTTTTTTATGATTGTTTGATTTATTGGCCGTGTTGTTTGGTAAATATATCATATGTGTTCTTTTCACTTCAGTTTAGAAATGAGGAGTTGGCTTTGGGACAGCAGTCTGAGCTGAAAGGAATTGTGGGAGAAGCTCCATATGGTATTCCGGTCAACATTCACATTCACGGTGGGTGTCTGGTATCTTATATACAGTTAAAAAAAAGAAAACTAGTAACCTCCACTCTTTGTAAAATAAAGCTGAAAATATCAAGTATCAAAACTTAAATGGGTGATTTCTGTTCATGCAAAATATAGCTTTTTAAGGTTTTGTGAGATTCACACAAATGTTTAAAAATGTGACATTTAAAATCACAAAAGTATCAAAACTTAAATGGGTGATTTCTGTTCATGCAAAATATAACTTTAGAATTTAAAGTGAAATATTCTTGACAGGTTTTGTGAGATTCACACAAATGTTTAAAAATGTGACATTTAAAATCACAATCCGTCTGTAGCTTAGCTGAAAGCATCAGACTTGTGCAGTTATTTATTTCCAGCATCATTTATTTTACATTCAGAAGCCCATGCCTCATGCATTTTATTCCCATTGTGTTGAGAACAGAGCAATCTCTCACTCTGACAGTCCAAAGCCATAACATGAGCCTACAAACTCATTTTCCTACCACTGAGTTCATGATTACAAACACTATAATATATGTGCATGATGTGCTTCCTAATGTTTACACTTTCTAAAGGGAACCAGTTGAAGAATGGCTTACTTGTAATTGACTCTTTGAGTAAGTTAAGAAAAAAATTAAAAACAATTGCATGTATTACCTTTAAGTATGAGAAGATTTTGTAGAGTGCTTCTGAATTTATGTTTCGGCGTTGTGTAGATGGTGTGACAGTTACAGAAAAACAATGTTAATGTTTTCATGGGAGTTGTCAATACTTCTCTCTACAGAGTGTCCTCCCGTATTGTTTGAGATGTCATACTTTGAGGACGGGGTTCAGATCGGAGGTCATCCCTGGCACTACATCTACACCCCCAACCACAAGAGACACAGAGGAACCCATCATATCTGCTCTATCACAGACGGGGCGCTGGTCAATACTCTCATTCCTGCAGATATTCTTAGGAAAATCAGTCCTACAAAAAAAAGCCAAGCTGCAATATATTTAGAGTGTGGACATGCAGTGAGAGTTAATGCGTGTCTGTTACCTACATGTTGCATTTTAGTTCAAATTATTATCTTTTATGGGTAGATATAATATTAAACTCTTGAGGCAAGGCTAGACAAACAATATTAGGTTTATCTCTTATGTTGCTTATAAAATTACACAGTAAAACTTTGGTACTAAAATAACCATTGGTTCTATACTTATCTTCAATAATTGACATAATTAATTGACGTTTAATTCAAGTTTTGCTTGGTTGTATCATTGCAGAAATCTAAACCGTTATCACGCAGCTCAACTTGGGTGTATATTATATCCAACTTTATATGTGACCCTGGAGCATAAAACCAGTCTTAAGTCGCTGGGGTATATTTGTAGCAATAGCCAACAATACATTGTATGGGTCAAAATTATTGATTTTTCTTTTATGCCAAAAATCATTAGGATATTAAGTAAAGATCATGTTCCATGAAGATATTTTGTAAATATATTAAAACGTAATTTTTTTATTAGTAATATGCATTGCTAAGAACTTCAGATTTTTTTGCACCCTCAGATTTCAGATTTTCAAATAGTTGTATCTCGGCCAAATATTGTCCTATCCTAACAAACCATACATCAATGGAAAGCTTATTTATTCAGCCTTATGATGTATAAATCTCAATTTCAAAAAATTGACCCTTATGACTGGTTTTGTGGTCCAGGGTCACATATGTGTACATAAACAGTACACTCACGTAAAGAGATATATACTATATAGCAAATTTCAACTGCCCGATGTTTTTTATTTCATTGCAAAATGTGACTATATTATCACCCAGCTCTTTATATGAAGTTGGATATGCAAGTATGTCTAATAAAGTAATGTGTCATCTGTACATCAGGCTAAGAATGGCGTCCAGGACATGAAATGTGACTCTCTGGAAGCAGACTGGATCTTTTTTCACCCAGATGACTCGGGTCGAATTGTGCATGCTGGGCCCAGCACAATAAAGTGAGCATACAGTGGCATGAGAAAGTTTGGGAAGCCCTTGCAGAGTCTGTGAATAATTTTAACAAAATAAGAGAGATCATACAAATTGCATGGTTCTTCATACTGTGTGTGGTTACCTGGATGACCTATGACTGTTTTTTTGTTTTGTGATGGTTGTTCATGAGTCCCTTGTTTGTTCTGAACAGTTAAACTGAGCTCTGTTCTTCAGAAAAATCCTCCATGTCCTGCAGATTCTTCAGTTTTCCAGAATCTTTTGCATATTTGAACCCTTTCCAGCAGTGACTACATGATTTTGAGATCCATCTTTTCACACTGAGGACAATTGAGGGACTCAAACACAACTATTAAAAAAGGTTCAAACGCTCACTGATGCTCCAGAAGGAAACACGATGCATTAAGAGCCGGGGGGGTGAAAACTTTCTGAATTTGAAGATCAAGGTAAATTGTACTTAATTTGTCTTCCCAGGAAACATGCAAGTATCTTCTGTTACTTCCGAAGGGCAGTACTAAATGGGAAAAAAAATTATATTTCAACAAAATAAGAAAAATTTGGACCCCCCCCCCCCCTGAGCGTTTTTAATAGTTGTGTTTGAGTCCCTCAACTTTTCTCCAATTTTGCATTTCTCTATAATTGTCGTTTTCAATTTTCTCTTTTCCAGTGTTCTGAAGATCATGGCTGAAACAGGATGTGACTGGAAGAATGAGATCGTCACCGACTTCTCCATCACCGCTGCTCGTGACAATAGAGTAAATGTTGTCTATGGGTTCATTACCAGCTGTTAGTAGCAATGGGATATTATTGAAATATCAATACTAGAACGTTTTCATTTTTAAACTCAGCAGAAATACCAGCTGATACGTATTACTAAAAGAACATTACTGCACAGGAGGATGGTTTGTAATCAGTGGTTCTTCTTCCCCACAGGCCCCTCAGGTGATTGTGACGTCTTCTGGCCGAGCGGTGAAAAGGAGATTCCAGTTGTTAGACGATGACCCTGCGCAGGAGGTACTGCAAATCACGCTTCTTAAGTAGTTCTTTGGTAGAAAATTGGTGCAGAGAAGATCCCTCTTCTTATCAGGAATTGCTGATCTGTATAGAGTTCCTGAGTGAGAAAAAAATCTTGATTTTACATTTTAGGTTCTTCAGATCAGTGTATTGGTGTCTGAGTGTTTTTAAAGCACCAGAGCATCTTTGGAATTCTAAGGAGCTTAACGAGTTTATTGTGGCACTCAAAGGAATAGTTCGCCCAAAAATGAAAACATTATTTACTCACCCTGATGTTGTTTCCAAACTTGTATGGCACAAAAAACACAAAAACAGAACTTGTGTAAAATGTTCATGCTGCACTTTCCACAAAGTTGTGTGGGTCATATAGTGACGATGTAGTGTTATTTATTTCACATTGGTATAATTAAAATAAGTGGCATACAAGAACCAACTGACAAACCTGGTGAAATGCATACAATAAAGGAACATGATGGTGAGTAAATGATGACAAAATGTTCATTTTTAGCTAGTGCTGTCAAACGATTAATCGCGATTAATCGCATCCAAAATAAAAGTTGTTGTTTACATAATATATGTGTTTACTGTGTATATTTATTATGTATATATAAATACACAAACATACAGTATATATTTTGAAAATATTTACATGTATATATTTGTTCATATAAAAATATATAAAATTTTTCTTAAACATACTTGCATGTGTGTATTTATTTATACATAATAAATATACACAGTACACACTCATATATTATGTAAACAACAACTTTTATTTTGGATGCGATTAATCGCGATTAATCGTTTGACAGCACTATTTTTAGCTGAACTATCACTTTAAAAATGTTCTTATGTGGCAAACCCTGTAAAAGCAATCTTAGATTCTAACTGGAACTTTAATTTTTAAATAATGTAGTGGAATAATGCATAGATGTGGCTGATTGAGTTAACTCACTCTAGTGCATCTCTGAGCAGGTCTGTTATGTTTTATACTTTGATGTTTACATTTAGTAACTTGACGGTCTTATCTAGACATTCAGAATGGTGAAGTATGAAGATGAACTTGATCTGTTGGCTGTGGTAGACATCACTCAGACTGAAGATGAAGGACAGGCCCATCTACGGCTACATGACAATAAGACGGGGGTTTTAATGAAGAGAGTTCCTCTAAAAGAGCTATGGGATGTGGTATGATATTTAAACGAATGTCTCTGTTTTTAGATATCATTCACTCATCTGTCATAACCCAACATCAACTGTGCTTTGTTTTCCAGACCTACAGTCACGAGGTTTACTTTGATAGAGACACGATTATTCACACTGTCCAGGAGAAAAATAACTCCTACTGCTGCCATGTTTATAAAATAAAGAGACGAGCTTCGGATGAACCATGAGCACATTTCATATTCCTGTATGTGATGATTAGTAATGAACTATAGTGTGTTTCTCAAAAAAAAAAAGATTTTTCAATGTGGATTTTTGAGAACTCGAAAGCAAAATATATTTGTCGTTCACACTGTCATTTGGCTTGAAAAATAATGGCCCTGGACAAACACATTTATTTGTTGATGGAATTTAACTTGAAAGACTTTTCTATTCAGTTATTTTATCTACTTGTAACTTTACTAATAAAGACTAGTTTGTGACAAATACTCTCTTGTCATCATTGTGAAACTAGTGATGTTGTGTAAGTTTAATGTGGTTAGTAACAAAATTCTGTTGGAATTAAAAAAAAAAGGAAAAGAAAGAAGTCTCCGTCCCAAAACCTAGTGAGCTGCCTACCTAGACAGCATTATGGGGCAAATCATAGGTCTAAAATTAAATACACTGTGCCCACAAAATAGAAAGTGTTATTGGGCATTATGGACTTCACAAGTAGCATTTTGTGTATGGATCATACTTTAGGTTAAAATCTAGTGAGCTGCCTATCTAGACAGAATTTGTGGACATCATAACTTTATAGTGAAGTTCAAAACCTGGACAGTATTTCTGGCCATCATCTATACTTAAGGTCAAAACCTAGTGTGCCTCCTACCTAGACTGCATTTTTGGGTATGACCGGCATCATCCTACACTAGCATTTTTACTCCCAGCAATGCTGCCCAGATAGGCAGCATACTAGGGTTTAAGACAGCGCCTCTTGTTTGGGTGAGAAAGTGCAAAAGTGACCCAGCCCCCGTTCGACGTGTCTCGTGCCTTGCTCTGCTGTAGTCGGATGAGTTTCCAGCAGACTGCGAGGATGGAGCACTACAAGCACTTTCTCCTTCTCTTCACTCTGGCGCTCGGGTTTGTGTCGGTCACATTCACTTTAAAGGGTTAGTTCACCCAAAAATGAAAATTAGACTGTGTTTTACTCACCCTCGAAGCATCATTTGTGTATATGACTTTCTTCTTCTCTCCCCCTCTGCCGCCTCCGGTCTTCGAGATCGCGAGACGGAACGCGACGCTGTGATCGTTGGAGACTCCATCGTCCGGCACGTCCGTGCTACGTTAGCTGAAGGTAAAGTGCACACTCACTGTTTCCCTGGTGCTCGTGTTCTCGATGTTTTTGCGCAGATACCCGCGATCCTGAAGGGCGACGAGAGCACCGGAGCGGTCGTGCTTCACGCGGGGGTTAACGACACCAAGCTGCGGCAGACGGAGACACTGAAGAGGGACTTCAAGAGCCTGATCGAGACGGTGCGCCGCACATCACCCGCGACGACGATCATCGTGTCAGGACCGCTTCCCACGTATCGACGAGGACACGAAAGGTTCAGTAGACTTTTTGCTTTAAATGAATGCTTATTGTCATGGTGTAAAGAACAGAAACTGCTCTTTGTTAATAATTGGAATCTTTTCTGGGAGCGTCCTAGGCTTTTTCGCGCTGATGGCCTGCACCCCAGCAGAGTCGGAGCGGAACTCATGTCGGACAACATCTCCAGGACGCTACGCACCATATGACTAGTAAGTCAAATCTCAAATAACTGCCCTGATGACTTGTGTTCTACCCGCTTAAATGATAGAAGTACTTGTGCTGTCCAATCTATAAAGACTGTGTCTGTTCCCCGAATAGTGAGGTCAAAATATAAATTTAATGCAGGATCTAGAAAAAATCTTATCGTGATTAAACCAGAAAAATGTAAAATAAATGAACAAAAACAATTTTTAAAGTTTGGGCTCCTAAACATTAGATCACTCTCACCCAAAGCAGTTATTGTAAATGAAATAATCACAGATAATCGTTTTGATGTACTCTGCTTGACTGAAACCTGGCTAAAACCTAATGATTATATTGGTCTAAATGAGTCTACTCCAGAAAAATATCCATATTTCAAACGTAATAAACACTTTTCTCTAACTCCCGTTATCTTTCATATGCAGAAGCCATTCTGGTGGAAGGCGTATGACGTATGCGCAGCACACGCGCGCCTCTGAGATATGCTAGTCTCGCGAGTTTGTTTATATGAGCAAAGGAAGCAAAGTTTCCTTACTTTAGCAAAGGAAAACCAGTCTCCTCTTGGTTTATATCGAAATATTATATCGAATATCCGACATTTTTCTTTGCAAATCTTCGGTTTGTGCTTCTAATTCGTGACTGGCGTTTTGTTTTGTTCTCTCTCCGCGTTCGTCACTAATCACGCAACGCCGCGTGTCTTATGTCATCCGCCGGCACGGCTTCCGCGTACCACAGTTAGATAGTGAGAGAGAAGTGTTTATTACGTTTGAAATATGGATATTTTTTTAACAAAAACACATGGATTCGCTACAGAAGGCCTTTATTCACCCCCCCCAACCCATGCAATGATACCGCTTGGAATAGCCAGGACAATTTTTTATATAACTCCGACTGGATTCATCTGAAAGAATAAAGTCATATACACCTAGGATGCCTCGAGGGTGAGTAAAACAAGCTAATTTTCATTTTTGGGTGAACTAGCCCTTTAACCAGGGGTTTTGCTTTACAGAGAGGGGCTCGGCTGGGACGGAGGAGCCGCTGAGTTTAACTGGCACCCGTTGCTAATGGTGATCGGGTTTATTTTTCTTCAGAGAATCGGTGAGGAGTTTGAACGTTTACATTTGAGAGGTATTGCATTCCTGAGTCTTTAATCACGATTGATTGAGAGAATTTGGTGTGAGAGGTCGTAATTTAACTTTCAGATTTCAACAAATGGAAATTAATGTTATTGTTCGACTTCTCGTAACATAGCCTATTACGTGTTTAAAAATGAATCGAAACTCATTGAGTTAAAGATGGTGGCTGTGTATCAAACCGTGCTGAGCTGCCTACATAGACAGCAGGGTAACAATAATTACAGCCTATGATTTTAATGCATTTTAAAGTTCTTATGAAAACATTATTTTTAAACTATGTTTTCTGGACGTTCAAAACATGGTCAAGTATATATACATACACACACACAGTGTTGGGAAGGTTACTTTGGAAATGTAATAGGTTACATATTACCCTACTTAAAATGTAATAAGTAGTGTAACTTTTCATTTACTTTATTAAAGTAATGTAACTGATTATATTTAATTACTTTTCTAAATTTCTAATGTTTAATCATTTTCAAACATGTTAAGCAGGCAGGGATAACCTTACAGTAGTACTGAACACTGATTACTGTCAGACTTTTGAAATCCTTCATCACTTGAAGATTACAATAATTTAATTTTAAAGGAGACATTGGATGCAAAATATCTTCATTTGCATATAAATGTGTCTTAGCAGTGTGTGGACACAACCACCCTACAATGATAAAAATCCATTCACTCCTTTTTTTAAATCCCCCAAAAACCTAAACAGTCTCAATTATCAAACCATTTAGATTTTCTGAGCAATATGATGTCATATTGCTCAGGCCCCTCCCACGACCGCTGACATACTGTCCCGTATTAGCATATTTCTGCACTCAGTCAGTTGTACGAAGTCCGTCATTTTCTCCACGCTTGAGCAGCTGTAGCGACAACAATGTCTTGTAAGCAATGCAGGTGTTTTGTAATTGGATGTAGAAGAATATAGGAGTCCTATTTTTCTCCCGACATCAGAGCGACTGAGGACGCAGTGGATTAGTTTTGGATTTTGATGGTAATGCCCCACCGAATACACCTAAATTCGTTTATGTCTGCACAAATAATTTTTCTCTTGACTGCTTTCTGAACTAGGGACAGTTCAAGGCAGGTTTTGTTAAAAAGTTAAAACTCAAGGATGGATCAGTATCCATTGTTCGTGGTCCAGCTGCAACCTCCAGAAGAAGTAAGTCTCACCATGGGCGTCGCTAGGCCATTTTTAGGGGGGCTATAGCTTATTAGCATGTAAAGAGATATGCACCGAAACGAGTCGCTGTGAACAGAGCTGTTTTTGACAAGGTAAAAAGGGTGTTGTTATAAACGACCACTGAAACCATTTCAAGAAGACCCTAAAGAATCATACCAACTTGTGGAAAATGGGCATCCGATGTCCCCTTTGAAGCACAGCCACCACAAAATCAGACTGACTTTAAATCTATATTTAACCTCAGAATGATCTCAAAGTCATAACAAGAAATAGTTTAATAGCTATGATACTGTTTTTGAAATAAAATCTTTGCATAGCTACGACAGGAAACACTGGACTTTAACAGTGCCTTGGAAAAAAAAACTGTTAATCTTAAAAAATAAAGCATATACATAAACCCATATAGGAAATAAAGGAGTTATCAAATAAGCATGTTATAAACTCCTGAAACATTGGTGTTTCAGTAGGGGGGGACAATAAACATAACATTTCCCAAGAGCGATTTTTGAATGGGACACAAATAATACAGCTAAAATTGTACTTGTAAAGATATGTATACACAGAGGAAAGCCTCACTACTAGTGTAGCAGGGAGGCCATGCCAAATTTGATAACTTCAAGCTGTTCCAAGTCCGCGGTTTTCCCGTGGAATTGGGCTACTTTTTCACTGTTGCCGCGGGTTGTTTTTCATGTCCACGGGTAGAAGCGACCCCAATGACGTGTATTTTAGCCCCCGGAACGCGATTTTTACCGGGGGACCCTCTCGAAACGCGGTTAGTTTGGGCTAGTTTTGGGTAGCAATTGGGAGGGTTTTGTTGTAAAAAAAAAACCTGGCAACCCTTTCCGTCAAGCAGGTAACGTTATTATTGCTAACATAGCGACTCATCTGTATTAAAGAGAAAATAATCACTTCATCAAATGTTTAAGTGAATAAATTAGCCTTGACAGCCTTACTTACTGGAGTCACTAGTTATATAAGCACTAGTTTCCAATATATGGAAATGTATTATGTAATATATTGCATTATATTTTGCAGTATATTAGCATATATTTTTTTGTTTCGTAAGGGATACCAAAAAGCTATTTTTATTTGGGTCTCTGATAATGTTTTATCCATTTGTCATTTAAGACTACAGCAGAGGACTGGCTACAAAGAAATGGCTATGTAGAAAAATAAAAAATGTTTGTACAAGATCTATATTAGCAATTAGGTACACTGTCAGAAATAAATGTTAGGGGTACAACAGCTTGTCATTAGGTGAGTACCCTCAAATGAACACCTTTGTACCTTCTTTAACCCTCAGAGGGTTCATATACCTTAGAGTAGTAATATGTACCTTTTCTGAAGTAATATGTGATCTTATGAAACTAATATAGACCCTTAGTGGTAAAGAAGTACTGCGCCAA